CATCAGAGCGACATGAACTTGCGCTGAATGGGGCTCACTTTGAGCCACCCGTCCTTGCATAGGAAAACTCCTTAGCCACGCACCTTTTCCTCAAATTTACATTCGAATTTTTATATTCATCAGCGATTCCAACCTCGAATTATCACTTGGAATCCCTTGGAAACCAGTCGATTTACTTTCTGGGAAGGGATTTTAGGGCAGTGACTTCTCCCCATTTAGCAGAGTGGACACTTCGCACCTTCTTACACAGGGAAATGCACGTAACAAGTGCATTTTCAGGAGAGCACCCATGCTGCTTTCACACATCTGTTGCCCCCCCCCCTTTGTCGCTCATCGAATTTCCCTTAATTTATCCTGAAACTCGTGCGTGTATGCATGAGCGATCCGAATTACGAAAGTCCTATGGCAGCCAGTCGGCGATAAAAAAAGCCCTTTGTTGCCGATCTGCACTGGCAAGCCTGCAATTGGAAATGATCCCTCGGGAGTTTCCCCATCACACCCGCACACACCTTGCTACCACCCACTGAAATTGGCATTGGATCCGACAGCACTCAATCGCTCACGATTATAGCTCAATCGGGGCGCTATCGGGGTCCCACTGGGACCCGTTTGGACTCACCAACGATCGTGCCGATTCCGACGTTATTCTGCGCGATGAACACTCCGATAACTGAAGTGAAGAACTCGGGAGCTGATCCTGAATAGAAAGGAACTCTGATAAAAACGCAGAAATATTATTTCAAAAATAATAAAAAAATTAAAATTTCTACAAATACACAATTCCAACAATACAATGACACAAAATAAGGGAAAAATAGAATTAAAGATTCACAATTTATGAATTAATCAATAAAGATTCGAAAAAAGGCCCTGAAAATACGTCTCGAAAACGCGGCGGCGGTTTTCCAATGGGCGCTGCAGTCATTTACTGGTGTTAGTTTCTCCAAATTGGCGCCATTAGTGCCGCCAACTTGACCACCCCTTTTTGGTTTTTGATTTTTTTTGGTAAATCTGGGCGTAGCATTTAGCTGATAGTCCCAAGACAAATTAAAAGACATCCAGGGTGGGCGGCGCTGTCGCGGGGGGGGAGCTCATGCTCACGAACATTGTCGCAAGCGACCCCGCTGGCAGCGCACGAGTTGCTGGTCGCGTCTGCGACAAAATTATTGCCTCGCCACAAACGCCGTAACAGAGCGCTCGGTTTCCTGAACTCCTTGCTCAAGAAATATGCCGGAAACTTCTTGGTCCAGCTGTCAAATCTGTAGGATTTTCCACGGACAGCTAGTCTCAGTCGTAATCCGTCGAGCTGTTCAAAGGGATCTGTCGAAAGACTATTTAGCTGCCAGAATTCATTTGGCCTGTCGCACTCTAAGAGCCTTCACCCGTAAATGTCTTTGCCTGATAGCGACATTGCGGACCGACGGCAAAAGGCGTATATAACCGGCGGCCAAGCAATCGCAGCAAGTTCGGCGAAACGTATGGCAGCTGAACAAGCGCCTGGAGGAGAAACAAGCCTTTGGGATGACAGCGCAACAGAAAATGAGAGTCTTTGTTTCGTGCGGATAATTCTACTTTGATTATGACCATCCGCGTGGCTTGCAGTTCACACGCCTGTAGTTCTGTAACGTGAATGGCAAGAGTTCTACTAAGTTTCAGTGGACCTTTCAGTGAACATTTGGCTTTTGCGGACGAGAGGGGGGGGGGAAGGAGCAGACCACCCCGAAGCCCAACTCCTAGTCAGACCTCGAAACGTCGAGATTTGAGGCTAAAATAAAATCGCCAACGGGAAAGTTCGCGCACAAGTTGCTTTAGGTACTATTAACAACCCTCCACCCCCCCCCCCCCCCCCCCTTCCCTCCCTCCTCGGCCAAAGTGGACTGGGACAAGCGGTGGAGGCCCATATGTTTGTCGATCCACAGGAGTCTCGACATATGTGAGACATTGAGGACACCTAGAAAGAGCCTCTTAAAGGCAGCCTCGCACCTTACTAATCCCCACAAGCACGACTCAGCGATCAGCATACCTCTGCAGGATAGAAACTTCCCGCGACCCCTGCTACACAGGTAGCTGCCATAGCGGTTTCCGCTGAGGAAGTTGCCCTGATATAAAGGCGCTAATCAAGCACAACTTCGTACGTCCAAACGCCCGCCAGCCCGCCGCCCACAATCATGGACGACCCAGTTCTCCTGCGTCGTCTTCATTCCATTTGCTAAGCGCCAACTTATGAAGGCGAAGGGACTGGTACGACAGACGCGCCCTTGATGCTGCATGCATGCATGCGGTACACTATGCCAGCCGTTATCTTTCCCGTTAGCCGCGTGATTGGCTAAGATGCGCCACCGGGAACCTCCGTCCGAAATCGATTTACAAGTCACTGAGAACGGAGGCTGGATTTTGACCGTTTCACTCCGTTCTTTCGCCATTTCCCCACTATACAGCGCCCTACTAGCATTTTAGGCTGAAGTAGGAAACCATCGTGCCAACTGCCTTTAAGCACTGCCCTTAGCAGAAAGGTGAGCTGGTATTTACTGCAGAGGAAGAGTTTTTGGGAGTTTAGATCGCATTTGAGGTGCAATTCACGCTCATCGTATCGGCGAAACCGCTACTATTTTGGTCCCCTCCCGCTCCCCTTGGTGCGGCCCTCTTGTTTGACATCTCGGAGAGCCCTCCAGTGAAAAGGGCATAGGGGAATAAGGACACCTAAGAGACCATCGTATAATGGACCTTTGACTGATGCAAGAAAAAATTCCAAAAAAAATGGCCAATGAGTAATTGACGAGAGAACAGTAATGAAGTAATCAATAATAATTGAATAAAGGTCCCAAAGCCCCAAGCGCTATAAAAAAACGCACCTCCAGCGGCCATGAACGTTGCTCCGGCAACATCGTCGGAGATGGCAAGCTTTTCGGTGAGCACAGCCAACGATGGCACAAAGAATTCATCGCATACGATCGCTAACGAGACGAACATGTAGATGAGACCACACACATGAAGAAGTACTGAAACAGTACAGCGTTAATCGATTGGATTGGGGGGGGGGTGAAAATTCGCTCCCTTCAGGAGTCTCAGGCTAGCAGTTCCAGTGATACCTGCGATTTTCCTAATCATTCTCAAGGAAGGATTAATGCCCTCAAGTCCTAAGCCATTCTAATTCTGATAATCCTCACGTCATCATGGATCTTCGGAAATCCTTCTCAGGGTGTATCAGTAGTATCAAGTCCAGGGCACAAGCGCTGTTCTTGCTTGGAGGGGGCATTCTGCACTTTCTCTAGTTTTTCTTAGTACATGCCAACTAGCAGGTTAACATGCCAACGCAGGTAACTACTTGTAAATTTTGGACAAGCCTGCGAAAGGTGCAAAGAAGGCATTTTATTATACAAGTTAACGCTCTTCACAAGGTGGCCGATATAAGCCTCCCTGAGTTGGTTTGGCTGCCCCCTAGCGACTGCCACCGCTGGGACGGCTCACGAATGGCAACGCTTACCTCAACCCTGTGTAATCCGCGCCCGTGAACAGCCCCTTCATTCCACCTGCGCTTCCGAAATTTCAGCTCAAAATAACGCCCGTTCATGGGACCGGAAGTGTGGTGCGGAATGAACTGCGGTAGTGACAATTTAAGAATCTGAAGAGAATTAGGGGGAAGCCGTCATCAAGCAACTACTATTTCCTCCCTTCTGGCGACCTAATACAATCCCTACTGGGGAGTCCTCAACGTACGATCTGCCCTGAGAGAGTCCCCTGATGTTCCTCACCGGGACAATATAATTTTGAAGTCAACTCTTAACAATTGGTGTTCTGCGCCTCCCACCAAAATTTTGCAGCGCCCAGTCCTGTCGTTTCTTTCAATCCCCAATCGCCGTGAAAACATCGCGGAACTATCAAGGATTCCCATTGACGATTCACTTACATGTGGCCGCCTGTTACAATTTTTTAATTGCTTCGCCTAATCCCAAAGTTGGCAGTTCGTCATTCTGTGACAGACATTCGCAATTCTAATGACAATCGCTTCTTTTCCCTGGACAACTCGTCTAGGCCCACCTAGATTGACTTCTCCTGTAGAATTTATGACAGCATTTTAGAGTGAAGCGCTCAGTTGAAGTCCTCAAAATCCCTCCTAGGCAACTGGCATGATGACTTACTTCTCTACCGAATATGGTAGTAGAATAAGAGAGCGCTAGATTACCCGTGCCAGTGAAGAAAAAACGGACGAAAAGTTGAAACGACGGAAGTCTGCCTGATTCCTGCCAGCTGGTAAGGCGTTTGTGCGCGCCCATCAGTTCTGGGAGCGCCGCTACAAAGCTGTGCTCGCTGAGCCAGCTCCTTATTCAGAAGGCTCACTCTGTACGCAACGGGTCCAAAGTAATCGCTCTCAATCGCCTTTTGAAAAGCAGCCTAACCTCGAATAGGACCGTAAATGTAAAGAAGATGCGTTTCGAGGGCTACCTTTTTCATTGGAGGCGTATTTTGCGCTCGACAGCTATTTTTCCACGCCGCGGATGGGATTGTTGTTGATTTTTCCCCTCTCACATGCGCTATACAACTCCCGAGTTGGCGCCTTTTGGACTCAGGTACAGCTATCGTTGGAGATCCCATGGGCTGTTCTTGCGTTCTTTAAAGCGGGGTTCAATACTGGGCCGATGGGAAGTATCTGAATCTTTGAAGATATTCCTTCACCTTCCCCCTTCCACCTTGCCCCCCCCCCCCAGTTGCCAGCACCGCGAAGTCTCACATAACTAACAGTTTTTACATGCTTTCGGTAGAGTGGATCGTCTCCTCAGCCTCAACTCACTTTTTTGTCGTGTGTGGAAGTGGGAAATTCTTAGCGAACCGAGGAAAATGTTGCAGGAATTTGAAGAAAATTGGAAAGGTGGTAGATAGGATGGGGGAATGTGGTAGACCAGAGGAAGAAACTTCAAGAGGGAGGGGTCATCTGATATGATCCCCCATCCTGACGTTGTCTGTACCCCGTTAGGAATAACATCCTTCTTATTTGGCTCTTCTCACGATGGAAGGGTGGAATATCACACCAACGTGTAATAAATTATTTAGGCAAATCTATCATTAAAGAAGCGTGGAATGTGCCTTCAAGAGAAGAGGCACAATTCTCCCTCCCCCTCCCCGCCCCGATTTCCCTCAGGACTCACCTGCCTCCATGTTGTCAGTTTCAAGCGAAAACACCATCCGAGACATATGCCCCATCATCGGCGATAAAGTCGTGCTTCGTTTCGTTGCTGAAAATAAAGCGAGCATAGATTAGTGAAAATCTGCTACGTGTTGGCTTTTGGCCAAATTCCCAGAGATCCACTTCCTGGTTTATCTCTCAATCCCAGCTGTCGTCATTTATCTTCACTCGGAGTTTAATAGGGTTTCCAACTGCTAGGCGGACATTAGGACGAAGATTAATGTAGGTCGCTGCGGCTGCCCCCCCCCCCCAACTTTCGTCACTCTCAGCAGTCCTCTATTTCAGCCGCCTTTAGATCTTCCCATCTAACAAAAGGTACTTTAGTTGTGGCCGCTATTCATATGATTGTTCATTTGTAGCACGTCAGAATAAGGATCACAATAAAATGTTTCATTTTTGACTATGCGTTTCTGGGATAGTAAAAAACTGAGTGCAAAGTTTGGCTGGGAGAAGCGATTTTGAACCATTTTTCCGAGGCTTTTTCTATTCATAATGTTAAGTATGCATAGCAGATGAGACCTTCGTCGACACTGCATCGAAAACAATACAATTCAAGGTAAAAAAGTACTTTATTTGGCACATAGTGAGGCAGCATTGTAGTTTCTCAAGAGATTCTCGCAGCATCCCAACCCGCAGCTGGCGTGAGGAGGGTGTTCAGAGCCATGTTGGCGCCAAATGACCTAGACGCCAATTTTAAAGGTCAGAATCGTCATCAGGGCCATTAATAACCTCTATATACAGACTTTCAGCAAAAATTTTCTCCTCGAGATGAGCGCTTAACAGCCCCTGCGTGCGGGTTGGCAACAATTCAGTGGAAGAATGCTCTTGCAGCAAGTCGGCGCTAGGCTGCGCCGTGGTCAAAAATGGACTATGCCATCCTCAATCGTGTCGTAAATCAAAACGTATAAAGTATCCGAAAAATGCAAAGAGTTAGTCGCCAAGGGGATCCGATCCAAGAACCTTCTTCGCGAGAGCCCACCGCACTATCCACTCCGCCATCCGCCGACCGCGAAACAGCGGTTGCGAGAATCGTTCAAGTAACTTCGGTATTACTCCCCTCCGTCCACTTTTATTGGCCTTACTTTGCTATCTTTTCAATACATAGTGAAGGGACACCTCATGAATTATGCACTGTCAAAGTTACAGCTACAACAGAGCCCATTAACACGGTTAAAATCGCGATTTCTCGTCAAATTGTTTTCACTCAGTTTTTGACCTCCCCAGAAACGCATAGCAAAAATGAAACCCATTTTTGTAAACCTTGCATGGACCCCTACAACAAGCAACAAACCATTTTTAAAAAACGCGCCACGACCTTAAAGAGAACTCCCATCTAAGGGAGGACAAGTTTGCAGGGTACTTTGAGAACCTTTCGAAGCGGAAATTAATGCATAAAATTCTTATGCATGCGGGAAAAATGGTTCTTTTCTAGGTGGAGAACTAAGTGTTGCATCATGAAAAGGGCACAGCATCGTGATGAGTGAAATGGTGGTGTCAGTACGACCCCCCCCCTCGAAGGAGGGCCTCGATACGATCCCCCATTTTCTCAATACCAACCTACCACTTTCCTACAAGTTTCCAGCCTTCTACCAGTTTCTCCGAAATTTCCCACATTCCACTTTTTCCACCCAAAAATTTTGCAGTCGAGCGGGGGGGGGGGAAGAGTAAATAGCGTATATGGAACATGAAAAACAGCGAAAAGCCAACAACCGAGAAAATTTTTTCCCAGCGCGGGGAATTTCTCTCAAAGGCAGATACCTCTCCCACCCCAGCGGCCAAGTACGACCCCACCCCTCCCCAGCGGCCAGGTACGACCCCTCCCATGTGTTTCCCACAACGATG